AAGAGGGTGGGAATGGTCACCCGCAGCCAGGCTAAACAAGCCGTGAGGCCTAGCTCTGTTCCGGAAACTTCTATCAGGACCCAGTCAGAGGTGATGGACCCGGACCCCAGGCCAATGTCTGCAACAGCAGTAGTGGATCCAGTCCCAGAGACCCAGACGGAACCAGTCCTAGAACCGGAACCAGCCGAACAACCAACACCAGACCCCGTGTCAGCACTGAATCCAGTACTTGCAACCTCAACAACAGAGGGCCCCACCGAACCTGAACTGGCAGCAGCCGATAACCCGACCCAAGAGGCTCAGCCGGAGCCTGAATCCCAACATAGTGCACCAGCGGAGAGCGGTTCACAATCAACAGAAACAGCTCCATCCCCTATATCGCTTCCAGAGGGACCAAGCCTAGGTCCACAATCCCATGAGGAACTGATGTCTCCAGCATCAAGGGAACAGTTCCAGACCGAACAGGAAGCAGATGAAAGCCTCCAGAGAGCTTGGACGGCGGCACGGAGCAACCCACCGCCTCTCAGCTCTTCTAATCGATCCAGGTTTGTTGTAGAAAGAGGACTTTTATATAAGGAAACTCTTTCTGGTGGACACCAGGAAGACTGGCATCCTCAGAGACAGTTGGTAGTTCCAACTAAATACCGGGCCAAGCTCTTGAGCTTAGCCCATGATCACCCTAGTGGCCATGCTGGGGTGAACAGGACCAAAGACCGTTTGGGGGGGGGTCATTCCACTGGGAGGGAATGGGCAAGGATGTTTCTACCTATGTCCAGTCTTGTGAGGTGTGCCAAAGAGTGGGAAAACCCCAAGACCAGGTCAAAGCCCCTCTCCAGCCACTCCCCATCATTGAAGTTCCATTTCAGCGAGTAGCTGTGGATATTCTGGGTCCTTTTCCGAAAAAGACACCCAGAGGAAAGCAGTACATACTGACTTTCATGGATTTTGCCACCCGATGGCCGGAAGCAGTAGCTCTAAGCAACACCAGGGCTAAAAGTGTGTGCCAGGCACTAGCAGACATTTTTGCCAGGGTAGGTTGGCCCTCCGACATCCTCACCGATGCAGGGACTAATTTCCTGGCAGGAACTATGAAAAACCTTTGGGAAACTCATGGGGTAAATCACTTGGTTGCCACTCCTTACCATCATCAAACAAATGGCATGGTGGAGAAGTTTAATGGAACTTTGGGAGCCATGATACGTAAATTCGTAAATGAGCACTCCAATGATTGGGACCTAGTGTTGCAGCAGTTGCTCTTTGCCTACAGAGCTGTACCACATCCCAGTTTAGGGTTTTCCCCATTTGAACTTGTATATGGCCGTGAGGTTAAGGGGCCATTGCAGTTGGTGAAGCAGCAATGGGAGGGATTTACACCTTCTCCAGGAACTAACATTCTGGACTTTGTAACCAACCTACAAAACACCCTCCGAACCTCTTTAGCCCTTGCTAGAGAAAACTTACAGGATGCTCAAAAAGAGCAAAAAGCCTGGTATGATAAACATGCCAGAGAGCGTTCCTTCAAAGTAGGAGACCAGGTCATGGTCTTAAAGGCGCTCCAGGCCCATAAAATGGAAGCATCGTGGGAAGGGCCATTCACGGTCCAGGAGCGCCTGGGAGCTGTTAATTATCTCATAGCATTCCCCACCTCCAACCGAAAGCCTAAGGTGTACCATATTAATTCTCTAAAGCCCTTTTATTCCAGAGAATTAAAGGTTTGTCAGTTTACAGCCCAGGGAGGAGACGACGCTGAGTGGCCTGAAGGTGTTTACTACGAAGGGAAATGTGCTGGTGGTGTGGAAGAGGTGAACCTCTCCATGACCCTTGGGCGTATGCAGCGACAGCAGATCCAGGAGCTGTGCACTAGCTACGCGCCAACGTTCTCAGCCACCCCAGGACTGACTGAACGGGCATACCACTCCATTGACACAGGTAATGCTCACCCAATTAGGGTCCAACCTTACCGGGTGTCTCCTCAAGCTAAAACTGCTATAGAACGGGAGATCCAGGATATGTTACAGATGGGGGTAATCCGCCCCTCTGAAAGTGCATGGGCATCTCCAGTGGTTCTAGTTCCCAAACCAGATGGGGAAATACGTTTTTGTGTGGACTACCATAAGCTAAATGCTGTAACTCGCCCAGACAACTATCCAATGCCACGCACAGATGAACTATTAGAGAAACTGGGACGGGCCCAGTTCATCTCTACCTTGGACTTAACCAAGGGGTACTGGCAGGTACCGCTAGATGAATCTGCCAAGGAAAGGTCAGCCTTCATCACACATCTCGGGCTGTATGAATTTAATGTACTCCCTTTCGGGCTGCGAAATGCACCCGCCACTTTCCAAAGACTTGTAGATGGTCTCCTAGCGGGATTAGGAGAATATGCAGTCGCCTACCTTGACGATGTGGCCATATTTTCGGATTCCTGGGCAGACCACCTGGAACATCTACAAAAAGTCCTTGAGCGCATAAGGGAGGCAGGACTAACTGTTAAGGCTAAGAAGTGTCAAATAGGCCTAAACAGAGTGACTTACCTTGGACACCAGGTGGGTCAAGGAACTATCAGCCCCCTACAGGCCAAAGTGGATGCTATCCAAAAGTGGCCTGTCCCAAAGTCAAAGAAACAGGTTCAATCCTTCTTAGGCTTGGCTGGTTATTACAGACGATTTGTACCGCACTACAGCCAAATCGCTGCCCCACTGACAGACCTAACCAAAAAGAAACAGCCAAATGCTGTTCAGTGGACCGGAAAGTGTCAGAAGGCCTTTAACAAGCTTAAAGCGACACTCATGTCTGACCCTGTACTAAGGGCCCCAGACTTTGACAAACCGTTCCTTGTAACCACAGATGCGTCCGAGCGTGGTGTGGGAGCAGTTTTAATGCAGAAAGGACCTGATCAAGAATTCCACCCTGTAGTGTTTCTCAGCAAAAAACTGTCTGAGAGGGAAAGCAACTGGTCAGTCACTGAAAAAGAATGTTACGCCATTGTCTACGCTCTGGAAAAGCTACGCCCATATGTTTGGGGACGGCGTTTCCACCTGCAAACCGACCATGCTGCACTGAAGTGGCTTCACACCGTCAAAGAAACTAACAAAAAACTTCTTCGGTGGAGTTTAGCTCTCCAAGATTTTGATTTCGACATCCAACACATCTCAGGAGCTTCTAACAAAGTGGCTGATGCACTCTCCGTGAAAGTTTCCCAGAGTCAACTGGTTAAAATCGTCCTTGAGATGTGGAAAATATTGTTAGTCTTTATGTACTTGGTAGTATATTTAGAGATGCATGTGTCTTATTAACTCTGTTTTTCCTAGAGCTCCAGGAAGAAATCCCAGCCAGTGTTTCACCCTAGCTGAGATTTGGGGGGCGTGTCATAAATATAAAGGGAAGGGTAAACCCCTTTGAAATCCCTCCTGGCCAGGGGAAAGCTCCTCTCACCTGTAAAGGGTTAAGAAGCTAAAGGTAACCTCGCTGGCACCTGACCAAAATGACCAATGAGGAGACAAGATACTTTCAAAAGCTGGGAGGAGGGAGACAAACAAAGGGTTTGTGTCTGTCTGTGTGCTGCTCTTGCCAGAGACAGAACAGGAATGGAGTCTTAGAACTTTTAGTAAGTAATCTAGCTAGGTATGTGTTAGATTATGATTTCTTTAAATGGCTGAGAAAAGAATTGTGCTGAATAGAATAACTATTTCTGTCTGTGTGTCTTTTTTGTAACTTAAGGTTTTGCCTAGAGGGGTTCTCTGTGTTTTGAATCTAATTACCCTGTAAGATATCTACCATCCTGATTTTACAGGGGGGATTTCTTTATTTCTATTTACTTCTATTTTTTATTAAAAGTCTTCTTGTAAAAACTGAATGCTTTTTCATTGTTCTCAGATCCAAGGGTTTGGGTCTGTGGTCACCTATGCAAATTGGTGAGGCTTTTTATCCAACATTTCCCAGGAAAGGGGGGGTGCAAGTGTTGGGAGGATTGTTCATTGTTCTTAAGATCCAAGGGTCTGGGTCTGTAGTCACCTAGGCAACTTGGTGAGGCTTTTTACCAAACCTTGTCCAGGAAGTGGGGTGCAAGGTTTTGGGAAGTATTTTGGGGGGACAGACGCGTCCAAACAGCTCTTCCCCAGTAACCAGTAATTGTTTGGTGGTGGTAGCGGCCATTCCAAGGATAACGGGTGTAATATTTTGTACCTTGGGGAAGTTTTGACCTAAGCTGGTAAAGATAAGCTTAGGAGGTTTTTCATGCAGGTCCCCACATCTGTACCCTAGAGTTCAGAGTGGGGGAGGAACCTTGACAAGACCAGACCCGAGTCTGCAGAGAGACTGAAACAGTGGCACTGATAGGTGTGAATTCTCACATCCCCTACATCTCATGGGGGTGTTAACACTGAAGGCTAATGACAACACTGCAATATCATCAACAACTATTCAATTGCTGATTACTTTCACAGCTGGAAAAGGGGAGGTGTTGGGAGCAAAAGCATAGTAAGCACCGGGAGTTCTGCAGGGAAGGAGATGCAGAGGGAAGAAGAGAGAAAGCACACAAACACCGGGAAAAGGGATAGAAACAGAGAAAGGAGGATGGGGAAGGAAGAGAAACAAAGACCAGGAGCAGCATTGGCCTAAAGAGAAGCAGATTTCCCCATTAAGCGATGCTGGATAAGGTCCTGGACAAATAACAGATAATGATAATAACTAAGTTATTACATAAAAGTCACGTCCCAGCCTGGATCTCTGTGATAACCTCTCACTGACCTTCTTCCAGGGGGGATGGAGGAGAGTTTGTATCTTAAATTTACACCCTGACTCATTCTCCAGAATTCAAATGGAATCCAGCTTTCTTCAAACCAGTGATTTGGACTCTATAGCACTGACCACAAAACAATGCCCAACTTGGTGTTTGGCAAGCACATGGAAGGTGGAACATGTGAAACAAAGCCTACTGGACAGAAGCTCTGACCGAGTTTTATGAGACTCCCTTAGGTCAAGAAAAAAGATTTCCATACCCAGCCATCACTTCCAGATGGAGCTGTCCAGAGACGGTCAGGAAGGCAGGAACATTGAAGAAATGGGAGTTTTCCCCAGGTTCCTGTACTTTATTTGATGTCTGTAAGTCAAGAACACACAACATGCCAGACTATTAATCGACAATTAAGGATCCTGGCTCCTAATTTATCATTCATGCCCCTCCTCAGAAAATTACAGGTGCTTCAATCCAAATGAAAAAAAGAACAGGACAAGGTCCCATGATCCCTCCCATGGGGGAGGGATAGCTCAGTGGTTTGAGCATTGGCCTGCTAAACCCAGGGTTGTGAGTTCAATCCTTGAGGGGGCCATTTAGGGATCTGGGGCAAAAATTGGGGATTGGTCCTGCTTTGAGCAGGGGGTTGGACTAGATGACCTCCTGAGGTACCTTCCAATCCTGATATTCTATGATTCTATGATTCCAGGAGTAAAGCCATACACCAGGGGCTTGTCTACACCAGGAGCACTGTCTAATTGGTTTTAAAAGTAGTTCAAGCTAATTCCATTTCAAAACCAGTTTGGGGCCTTTTCTAACTTGGCAATTACCTCCTATTTCAGCATAGCTGCACCATGGAAACCCCTAATGTAGACAGGGAAAGCCATGATATGCATGAGAACCTGGGGCTAATCTCCAGTCTAGACAGGGCCTCAGCGTGATTTAAAATGGTATCACCTGTTGTCACTGAAGTAGCCCACAGAACATCTGGAGGGGGAAGGGGAGAGAAACCAACTCCGAAAGTTGGAAATATACCAAAAAGAGATTCTTAATTGTCTCTTAAGGGGGATTTAGACCAGGGGTGGGCAAACTTTTTGACCCAAGGGCCACATCTGGGTATGGAAATTGTATGGCGAGCCATGAATACTCACAAAATTGGGGGTTGGGGTGCGGGAGGGAGTGAGGGCTCCAGCTGCGGGCTCTGGGGTGGGCCTGGGGATGAGGGGTTGGAGGTACAGGAGGGTGCTCTGGACTGGGACCGAGGGGTTCGGAGGGCGGGAGGGGGATCAGGGCTGGGGAAGGGGGTTGGGGCGAAGGAGGGGGTCAGGGGTGCAGGCTCTAGGTGGCGCTTACCTCAAGCAGCTCCCAGAAGCAGCAGCATGTCCCCTCTCCGGCTCCTACACGGAGGCGCGGCCAGGCAGCTCCGCACACTGCCCCGTCCGCACGTGCCGTCCATGCAGCTCCCATTGATCACGGTTCCCGGCCAATGGGAGCTGCAGGGGCCACGCTTGGGCCAGGGGCATTGTACGGATCCCCCTGGCTGCCCCTAAGCGTAGGAGCCGGAGGAGGAACATGCTGCTGCTTCCCGTAGCCGCATGCAGTGCGGCAAGCCTCCAACCCCGCTCCCCGGCGGGATCTCGAGGGCCGGACTAAAACATCTGGAGGGCCGGATGCAGCCCTCGGGCCGTAGTTTGCCCACCCCTGATTTAGACAGTAGTGGCATGTGATTGTATTTAAGTCACTAACTAGTTATAAATTGCATATATGAGAGAGTGGAGAGGGACACACAATTTATGGGTGCCTGCCTAGGTTCCCTGTAAGCTGCGCGGCCGTGCAGCAGACGATTTAAGGCCGCACAGTCACCCGGCCCGGCCTGGCCCAGCCCCTCCGGAGCTGCTGGGGAGAGGAGCCCCACCCCCACCCAGCCCAGCCGGATCTGCCGTGGCAGGGAGCCTCTCTCCCCGCTGTAGCCCCGGGACAGCCTGCACCCCAAACTCCTCATCCCTGGCCTCACACCCCCCCACATCCCAACCCCCTCATCCCCCACCCCAGAGCCCGCATCCCCAGCCGGAGCCCTCACCCCCCACATACCCCAACCCTCTACCCCCACCCTGAACCCTCTCCCACACTCTGAACCCATCAGCCCTACCCCGCCACATGAATTTTGTTATGTGCCCCAATACGGAGGTGATGTGTCACACATCACCTCCATATTGATACATATAAAATTAATTCTCCACATGGGTGGGAAAAATTAGAGGGAACACTGGACTGCCTGCTTATATAAGCCATGAAACATGGTTTATAACAAATACAAATTCCTATTCCCAACCCCCGACCCCAGCAACAGAATTAACTGCATTATAAACAATTTTCTGTAAGACAACAGTGTGTTCAGCTATTAGAAAAGGACACAGAAAACTATTTCCCTCTCGATCCTGCACATGTCTAAATAGTCACATGAACAGTCCCATCAAAGTCAACAGGACTAGTCAGATGAGTCAATTTATGCATGTGCTTAAGTGTTTACAGGATCGGTGTATTATAACCACATGAGTAGGCCAAATTTTGGTTGAAGGCTGGTTCCCACTGACTTCAATGGTAGCATACATATCAAGTTCAGGATATGGCCCTTAAACTTTGGTGCATACCTAAGGTTATTATATGGCTCTGAAATAATTTACTAATGTGGTAACAGAAAGCAAAAAGACTGACAAGGGAAAAAAGCCATCGAATGCAGCAGAAAGGAGCTAGGGAGGAAGGTCTTGTGGATAATGCACTGCACTGGGACTCAGGAGAACTGGGTCTAGTTCCCTGGCTCTGCCAAAGACGCCTGGCATGACCTTGGATGAGTCACAATCTCTCTGTGCCTCAGTCTCTCATTCGTGAAATGGGGAGAAAAGCACTTCATTTGTCTTGTAAGACTAAGTTCTTCAGGGCACAGACAATCTCTTACTAGGTGTACAGCACAGTGGGGCCTTGATTGTTGTTGGTGCCTCCAAGCATTACTGTAATGCAAACAGCAATAGAAGAAATTTACTTTGTAACAGAAGTGGGGGATTCACATTTATATGCCACTGTGGGGTCCTTGGAGAAAGCTAAAAATATGCAGCTCTTCTTACTTCAGTTATACAGGCCTATAGGACTAGAAGTGGGTTAGCAACTCTGAATTTTGCTTGAAGTCTATGCAAATGGTCATGTAATTGAAGTGTATGTTATTGCAAGAGAGCATAACTTACATTGTGAGGCAATCAAAGGGCAGGGTTATAATAGGAAGAGCAACAAAAGAGTATAACAAGATGCAATGTAAAGCACAGGGAGGGAGTGCCTCTACTCAACCCGTTTTACAGATAGGGAAACGGGCACAAAGAGGTGGAAGCCTGAATTTTCAGCAGTAACCTAATTTCAGGAGCTCAGACTGGGACATTTAGGGTTTGAATTCCAGAGGAGCTGAGAACACACAGCTAATTGGAGCTGTAAATGTTCAGAACCTCAGGGGGTGGGGAGTGGAAATCAGTTCCTAAGTTTTTAAGAAACTGAGGCATCCAAAATTAAAGGTTTGAATCATTTGAAAAGCCATACTGGAGAACAAACCCAGACTGTCCAATCTAGTCCTGAACCTTAAGCATTATTTCATTCTTCTCCACAAAGATCATGGAAAATAAAATCTTTAAGAATTTCTGCCAATAGAATATCTTTAGTTTCACACATCACTGCCATAAAGGCTCAATTTTAAGTCTGATAAGAAAGTAGGGGAGGGGATGAATGGGTGTGTTTTTCATCTAAGGCAGGTTGGCTCAAGTTTATTAAAAAAATTTTGATCAGTGCTATTTTTCTTTCACAGGGAAATGAACTTGATTCTATTAGAAAAAGGGTTATGGTAATGAGAAAAAAAGAAAATGGAATATTCTCTCGCTTCTTCATTGTTATTCTATCATTGAAAAAATAAAAAACTCCAGCAATATGGAGATTACACGTTATAGGGGCACAGAGCCACAAATGACCTTTTCTTCCAGCTCTTGCGTATCTTTCCAGGTCATTGGACAATTTGCACACAAAAAAACACCCTGGTACATTTAGCTGGGCATAGACAACATTTTTATTGGGGGAGGGCCTAGAGTTAAAAAGAAAAGAAAAGCTGTTGGATATTGCTCTAATGAGTGGTTTTGTGCCATGATTACATATGTCCACTTCTAATAAATGGAGAAATTATAACTGCTTCAAACTCAGTATTTCATTTGTTCATGTAACCCCTAATTTTGGGGGGCAGGGGGCTTGGCAGGGGTGTCTCCACCCTTGTAAAAAATGCAAGGTTTCTTATTAAACATTCTTAGTTAAGATCTTCTTCATCTACCCCCTTCCTCGAGTTTACTCACTAGATCCAGACGGTTTTCTCTCCTATTGCTGAAGTTTATTTCATTCTAAAGTACAATATTCCTTCTCCAAGGTAACTTTAGGATGAGGCACATAAGCTCAACTGCTTGTGGTCATTAATGATTCGAGAGCACTTTTCACAAGATATGGGTGCTCTGGCTGAATTCCCTCGAGGCTAGTTACATTTGTTTGACTTCAAATTTCTCCTGTCGCTGGGCATGGTGTTCTACACTTCCTGAACTAAACTGCTTTGTACAGTCACTATGCACCATCCAACAGCTCGCAAGTTTCACCCTAGCAGTGACCGCACTGACAAAGGAAATACAAATACCTGAACTCAGAACCTGAACTCAGAACCTGACAGCTATGCGCAAGAGGTACAGGCACCAACTTCTCCGCCCCTTCCTCGTCTCCTCCCCTGAGTACACCGTGTTCCCGCTCCTCCCCCCTCCCTCCCACAGCTTGTTATGCCTATGGCGAGAGGAACAGATTTTGAACTCAGGGGAGACAGCATGGTCTGCCAGAATGTGCAAAGTAGAGAAAGACAGGACACCTGGGTGTTAAAAGCTGGGCACCTAAATAAATGGCCTGCTTTTCAAAGGATCTGAGCAACCACGATTCCCAGTGCCTTCAAAAGGCGCTCCGGAGGCAGAACATTTCTGAAAACAAAAGTCAGACCACTTATCTGGGTGTAGGATGTGGGTTCAGATGCCTACAATATCCAGCTCTCAAAATTTAGGCCCCTGCATCTATTCCCAGCTTTGCCAAGGACCTGCCACGTGATCTGTCACTTCCTGCATCAGTTCCCAGCTTGTAAAATAGAAGAACGTCATGGAGCGTTGCTAGGCTGAGCTCATTCAGTGTTCTAGAGCCTTTGAGCTTCTTCAAGTTGCCATTTTTCTTACTAGCTTGGAACCTGTTTTGTTTTTGTTTTTTTAAAGCTCTGCTGTTCACCTCTAAGATATACGGTCAGCTACCTTCATTCTCAGACC